GTGTATATTGGCTTGTTAGTAAGCAACCAGTGCATACTAGCTTGTTATTAAGCAACCAGTGTATATTGGCTTGTTAGTAAGCAACCAGTGTATAGTGGCTTGTTAGTAAGCAACCAGTGTATAGTGGCTTGTTATTAAGCAACCAGTGTATATTGGCTTGTTAGTAAGCAACCAGTGTATAGTGACTTGTTAGTAAGCAACCAGTGTATAGTGGCTTGTTAGTAAGCAACCAGTGTATAGTGACTTGTTAGTAAGCAACCAGTGCATATTGGCTTGTTAGTAAGCAGCCAGTGTATATTGGTTTGTTAGTAAGCAACCAGTGTATATTGGCTTATTAGTAAACAACTAGTGTATATTGGATTGTTAGTAAGCAACCAGTGTATATTGGCTTGTTAGTAAGCAACCAGTGTATATTGGCTTGTTAGTAAGCAGCCAGTGTATATTGGATTGTTAGTAAGCAACCAGTGTATATTGGCTTGTTAGTAAGCAGCCAGTGTATATTGGATTGTTAGTAAGCAACCAGTGTATATTGGCTTGTTAGTAAGCAACCAGTGTATATTGGCTCGTTAGTAAGCAACCAGTGTATAGTGGCTTGTTAGTAAGCAACCAGTGTATATTGGCTTGTTAGTAAGCAACCAGTGTATAGTGGCTTGTTAGTAAGCAACCAGTGTATAGTGGCTTGTTAGTAAGCAACCAGTGTATAGTGGCTTGTTATTAAGCAACCAGTGTATATTGGCTTGTTAGTAAGCAACCAGTGTATAGTGACTTGTTAGTAAGCAACCAGTGTATATTGGCTTGTTAGTAAGCAACCAGTGTATATTGGCTTGATGTTAAACTACCAGTATATTGGCTTGTTTGCAAAACACCAATGTCTATATGTGAAAATAACATTTGTTAGCGAATTATCCCCTGTTATGTAGCAATGCGATGCGATGTGATGACAACTGATAGACACCAGAAATCAGACACCATCACAATTCTTATAAGTTAATCTAATCATGCAAAACAGGGCTAGCTATTTGAATACTGTAAATGCAGTGTTACTATTGCCTACCTCTCCCATAGTTGGTTCATCTGCTTTGTATGCATCCAATTTACTCTGCACCATCTGAGCTAGTTCAGCAGTCTTCTCACATTCACCACGGTATCTGATAGAGGGATATTCACCCAGGGTTGCACACAGTGTAGCCAACTGTTCAGCTAATTTTTCCATTTGAGTGTTACGACCTCCCATTCTTAGACTGGACTGTGGACTGTAGAAAGTATTGAAAGATTCTGGCATATCCAGTGAGAACACCTAAAATGAAACATTGGCAGAGGCCTCAGAAAGCAAGTCTCATCATCATAGAATCAACCATTGACAACAGTCTTATAATAGAACATGATTTATAACATATTTGTGAAGATTGAATATGGATTGGTTAAGACATGTTAGAGCTATATATATATATATATATATATACATATATAACAGCTTTCATTGAAAGTAAATGGCCGCCAGTCAGCCATTTTGTATCTCGTTTGCAAAGCAAACTAACAGTCATAAAAATCCCTTTATCGTCAATGCATGTTCCATGGGTTTATAAATTGTTAATACTATCATAATAATGTCTACACTTAAGCAATCTTAAATCAGATTTTCAAATTAATACAATCTTACACGACATGATGCATGTTTGTTTGAGGTTTGAATTTGATCAACCAAAGCATGTCCCAAAATTGGCATTGAAACAGCGTACTTCTTGCTACTATTTAATTCACACAAAAAAACTTGGGGAGACTAAGCCATAAAATCATCATATCTCACCTGTTCTTCATACGGCAGGAATGCAATATTGATTTCTTTCAATGTTTTGATTACCTTACCAGCTGGTGATTTACTTATTTCATTGAACAACTCATCAGGACAAACTGCAGAATAATCATATCAAAGTAACGTTATTTGAGTAAGCAGGCATTATAAGTCATAAAAGTATATCCCTGAATATACTATAATGTAACTGAGACTGTGAAGAACTGTTCAGTGATAATTATTTCTGTTTACACAGTGTATCTAAGCTTTAAGGTTATGTACAAGTTATTATAGTAGCTTGCTTAGTAACTGTTAAAAAATGCACTCTGTTTTAATTCACAGTCAATTCATCCTAATACGTTCATCCCACAAGTTGATTTGTCAAAATTCATTGAAATGAAGATATCATCACAAAATGAACAAATCTGAGGTCTACCTGAGGTACCTACATGTATATGTATAATATCAAAGCAATCGGATTTGCGGTTTTTAACGAGAAGTCGAAAATAACACTTTTCACAATAGATGACAAAAATATACATCAAAATTAGAGATTTGAAGATATCATAACAAAATGAACAAATCTGAGAGAGGTCTGCCCAAGTTACATATACACCAAGTATCAAAGCAATAACAATTGTAGTTTTCAAGAAGAAGTCGAAAAAGTATAATGTTGACACGAGCGCCTACAGCGGAGCTAAAAATGTCTCGTCAAAATAAGTCATATTTTAATGATCCAGCATACAATAAATACAATAAATGAGATATGATTTTAACATAGCACATTTGTCTTCAATTAGGTGACACTTTGTTACACTTTCATTTCATGGTGGCACTTATTTGTGGTTAAATTTGGGCAACTTTGTTTCCAATGGCACTTATTTCAAACCATTGTTTCTTGCTTCATTTTGGTAATACATTGTATCAATTTATTGGTAATATTTTACATTACAGCTCAACACTTTGTCACTGTAGCCTATATTTTAAATACTAAGTAAATGACTTGTTTTCTGACAATCTAGAAAGTTGTACAAAAAGTGTTATCCCTTAGAAAACATTCACAGCTTGCAGCAACAGAAAAATACATAGACAAATACATTGCTTAGTAGCAAATGATCAGAGTAGCGAAATCTGGTCATGCTGCCAGGGTTCTCCACCGTTTGAAAATTAACAGGGCGCGCCAATGAAAAGTGGGCGTGCATCATTCATTGGCATGGACGTTGAAAAAGTATATATATTATTACAAAATGAATGAAAATTTTGAAGAGCTATTATTAAGTAAACGTCAGCACGTACAATCAGCTGATTTTAGCTCCACGATTCATCACGCGGCAACATCAGTAATGATCGCGTCCAGAAAAAGACGTAACAAGTTTGTTAATTTATTTTACCAAACAGATACATACATGCTTTATTTAATTTTTAGCAAAAATTGTGATTTATATTTATTTGGACGAAGCAAAATAAAATTGATGATGTCGCACAAACGCTTGTAATTGGTTCATTAAAAAACTTGCATGAATGTGCGTCATCGTTATCAAAACCAATCAGAATATTTGTTCCAAGAAGAACACTAGAAAATTTATTTCCTCCACTTATGATGCGAGTAAAAAGCATGGCCGTTTTACCGGGGTTTTTAAATAGTGATTTAAAAAAAATTCAACTTTAAATAGCAACATTCGTCAAAATATAAACATTTTCATGTTTAAGCAAGCATTCGTGTGGACTTCTTGGTGATCAGCAATGTCTGTGATGGTACGTCGGCTGCGCTGGTCGTTTACCGATCATGCAAGTGCAT